CAAGCTACCATTTCAGAGGCTTGTCCGTGAAGTCGCCCAAGACTTCAAGACTGATCTGAGGTTTCAGAGTAGCGCCGTAATGGCTCTACAAGAGGCTGCCGAAGCCTATCTTGTGGGTCTCTTCGAAGATACCAACCTCTGTGCCATCCATGCTAAGCGTGTAACTATCATGCCTAAGGATATGCAGCTCGCCAGGAGGATCCGTGGCGAGAGATCGTAAGCTATCAGAAGCCTCTTGAGTCTAACATGCATTACAAGGCGTTATTCAACGCCATCTAAATATTCGAACTTCCGTAAAAATAGGTGTAATTTTAAGGCGAAAATTAGAAATCGCCATTCATCGGTTCGTAAACATTTAACGTTTTTTCCATCAGATCGCGTACGATATCACATCAACCAGTGGTGCATAACTCTGACCATCATCCGTTTAAACTAAATCCTTGATAGTAAAACCATGTCCGGAAAGGGTAAAGGAGGTCGTGGCAAAGCTGGCAAGAAGAGTGGCAGTGGAGCCAAGTCTCGCTCCGCCAAGGCTGGTCTACAGTTCCCTGTTGGCCGTATCGCAAGGTATCTGAAGAAGGGCCGTTATGCTAAGCGCGTCGGTTCTGGAGCGCCAGTCTATTTGGCCGCTGTTCTAGAATATCTCGTCGCTGAGATTCTTGAGCTCGCTGGTAACGCTGCGCGAGACCACAAGAAGACTCGTATCATACCTCGCCACATTCAGCTGGCGGTCCGCAACGATGAGGAACTTAACAAATTCCTCGCTGGTGTTACTCTCGCGAGCGGTGGCGTTTTGCCCAACATCCACACTACACTTCTTCCCAAGAAGAGTAAAGGTAAGAGTTTCACCGCTTCCCAGGAGATGTAGATAGTGCATTAGCTGGCGGAGCCCTAGCAATTCCAAGGCGTTATTAGGCGCCATCTCAACAATTCTTGTAAGATTTCTTCACAGTTAAGAATTTCTCAAACTTAGCAATGTAAGTTTGATACTCGAGTATTTCAAGAGGAAAATTCGAAATCACAATATTACAAGAGTGAATTTTTGCGTTATTTGCATCAGAACCGTCTGGAGAGTACGAGGCGTGCTGAGATACTTTTAAACTATCCCGCAAGTAAAATACTC